TATTATTTTCTTTCCCTCTAGGAGATGCTGACTGAAAACAGGATGCATTAAAGAAAGTAAAACAAGCAGCGCTCCCACTCAAGAGCTTATTCTGTTTTGTCCCCAAATCTCTCCTCTGTGGAATTTCGCTATTTTCAACTTCATGGAGAAACCTTTAATTTCATTGGGAACTCAGTTGTTTGTTTTGCTTGCACACTCCTTAATAAATACACCAAACAACTTCCAAAGGATTGTCCCCGAATCTCCTGCTCCCTTGGCAGTTCCAAACGTTGCCTTCTCCATACTTGTCTGACAGTACATCATCACCAACCTAGCAATTTAAAAATGGAAACTCTCACTCTGACAATATTGCATTACAACCCTCACAAGCTTATTTGACCACCACTTCTCTGTGATATTTTTCCTTGAGAAAACTAGCCTTGCACACAGAAATGACCGTATACAAAACAAAGTGTCTACAGTCTGCCCTACGTCTGTAAGTAACAAGATTTAACTAGAAATACAATTAATTTTAAATTCAATCCTAACTCAACTGCCAGGTTCTGAATGGACAAGCTGCAATAAGTGCCCAGGAGAGCAAATTAGTTTGTTCCTAAAGTAACTTGAAAATAAAATATTTCTATCCATAAACACCTTACTTTATTTAGCTGGAACTTTGGAGTTGTGGCTTCCTGATTTGCAAATGCCTAAGGCAGGTTCCCTTATGAGCGTGACTCTTCTTTATCATCTTTTTATGGACCACTAAAATTCAGTCATGAATCATAAGAATTTTGCAGACCAGTTTGAAAATCACTGTTGATGAGGCTGCACCTTACCCACAATAAGCAAGCCAGACTTCTTATGTCAACTCTGAACCACCACCCTTTCAAAAAGCACAGGGACAGTAAACAGAGTGTACCAAGGGTTTCCTCACCAATTTAGCATAGGCCATCAGCAAGGAAAACTGAAGAATGTCCGTAAGAGACTGCCAAGTCAAGTTTTTTAATGGTATGCACTATAAATGGCTGAAACCTATTGTGGCTCTGTTACCCCCTGCACAAATACTGGACTTTGGGAAAAAGCCCCCAAACGAAAATACAGAACAGACTGGAAAGTCAAAGATGAATTGATGAGACAGAGAAGAAATAAAGGTCCTGAACTACAAGATCCTTTATTGCATTCTTAATCCGTACGAAAGGGTTTCAGAACACAAATCAAATTCCTCAAGATTATATCACAGGAGACTGTTAGAAGCTGTCTTTCTCTAGGTTAAAATCTGCCTGTATCTATAGTTCTATAACTTGGCTGGTCTAATACAGACTTAGTAACCGATAAGCATAAATGTGAAAACAGCGGGTCTTTCTGGGACACCAGTAAATTAAATTTTCACCATAAAGGTCAATTTGTTTGTATTATTTCCATATAACTTCAGAGACTTTTTCAATAAGATGATGTGCCGAGTAGATTTCTCAGTCCCTTGCCCTATTACTGTGACTCTTTGTAGTGTACAATAGTCAGGATTTAGATCAATGCCAAATTCTCATTGCTGTCTACAGGGCCTCTGACTGCAAAGCCATGCTCTTGTTCGCTGTGCCAACTAATCCCAGATTTCTTTTGGAAAATATATATAATACACAAGCCAAACTGTTACAAAGATTCTCACAGGAGATTTGAAGGATTATTCAGCCTGACTGCTTATATTTCGTAGGATTAGAGATTAAAAAGAGGTGTTGAATAATCATTTACATATTATTCCTGTGATTATCTGAAGAAAATGTCTCTGAAACATAATATAGTACATATTTGTCTCTGCCTCTGTGAAAAACAGCCACTGAACAAATGCATCTTATACTTTGCCATTTCAGACATAAAGAACTTAACAGAAGTGTGTCAATAGATACAGTGGGAAACCACAAAAATACAATACAGAAAATAAGTGAGCAGTCACCAACATTTTTATGTCACTCTCCTAATCTTACAAACCAGCCTGCTGCTGGTGAGCGGCAGCAGCTACAGTCAGTTTGAACCAGCATGTGTGGAGATAAACCTGAATTGTTCCCTCAAAAAGTACAGGCAGACTCTTACTCCACACTCCAAACTCTGCAGAGAGATCACCATCAGTATATGATCTGAAGTAAGATGGGTAAACGAGATTACAGCGGTGATCCAGAAATCCTGCAAGTTTCTGCTAAAAGTGACAGTACTACAAACAGACACTGAACAAACAGATGATTAATAAATATCATTTGAGGTGGTAAAGAACTAAGAGCAAATGAAATAGTTAATTTATTGGCCCTTCTGCTACAGCTGGCATAAGTTGTCATTTTAACCAAAAGAATTGCTGCAAATGTTGACTCGCTTTTAATGGGGAAAAGAGGAAGGTCAGTAGGGTGATAAGAAGGGCTGTAGGAACTAATCTTGGTCTCTGAGTCTTGCTAGTCCAGACAGCCTGACGCATACATTGTGTTTTACTAAGTACCACACAAATGTTAATCAAGTTTAATAGCCTTTTCTTGAGATATCCCAGGAAATGAGGTAGTAAAATTAAAACAGTTAGATGTCTGCTGAAAAGCAAATATATTTATTATGCACTTTCATATACACAGGGATTTTCACTTAATATAATACAAGGAATAAAATAAAAATTTTACAATGTGAAATTCGTTCAATGTACATTAAAGGCTATTTACAACCCACTCCAGGAAAAAGTCTATCTGCAAACCAAGTTAACTGAGGAGTTCAGATGGGGAATATTAAGTATAACAGACATTTGCATAGCAGAGTAACTGAGGAGGGAAAATACCTTTTTATTTTTAAATAAATGGTAATGTTTTCAATACTGATCACAGAGAGGACAAAAATGCATCATTGTGCCTCTATATTTCTTAATAAATTTCTCTTTTGAAGAGCTTTTCCACATGCATGCAGTATTGACATCGCTGTCCACAAAACAGTCTTTTCCCTAGCTTTCCCACCACTAGGAGTTTCAGATGTTTTGTGGAGATGACCTTGGAGGGAGCAGTGAAATGTGATGAAGAGAAAGAGGATTCATGTTTTATTCGTTTGTTTTTTGTTTTTTTGGGGGGTAGGGAGGACCGTCACACTGTCAGAAGAAAACGTGCTGAGTCACAGCTATGCAACTCCACTCACCTCTGCCAGACTGTACAGATATAAAGGAGCAGAGCAGAACAGAGAGAACAACGGGGGAACAGCGACTTGCCTTTGGACGCAGAAACCTCACAAGCAATAAGATTAAAAAACTCACACACAACAGCAATGTGGAATTACACAGACCTTCTGAGAAAGTAGATGCTTTAAAGCAATTCATGCTCTGTTCCAAAGCTAATGTTCAAAATCTGTAAGAATTGTTATTTTCTTTCTAAAAACATTTTCAAGAGGTCTGCTTTCTGCTGATTTGGATACAGGATTTCTTCAACAGCCGTTTCAAATGTAAATATTATTCACACAAAAACCATCAGGTTATCTATAAATGGTGGCCCCTTGTGAAACTGACCACATTTTTATGTCCTCTGTCCACAAGGTGCAATTAATAACACAATAAAATTAAATAAATATAATCCCAATGACAGCCAAGGTCAGTAGAAAAATGACAGCATTCCGGGATCCCTTTCTGCAGAACAAAACATACACCTAACAACCAAAAAAAGTTTTATTCTTGACAGCATTGCAAATGCACTGTACTTGAGGTTCAGAACAATTGTTGAGAACATTTTGGTACTCTTCCTTTACTGAGCCACTAACTCTCTCAAGTTTTTTTTTCAAGACTCCTGTTATGTTTATGTTATAATTGTCCCACAGGGACAAGAGATTTAATGCCTGAAACATACAGAATAATCAATATTGCTGTGTGTCAACTTTCAACATTTAATCTTACTATGCACTGAATGCCTGACTATAAAAGAGGTTTTTTTTACATTTAGTAACAAGCTAATAAGAATGGAGGTGCAAGATATAAAAAAAAACAAAAGCAACAAAAACAACCCACAAAAAACTTTGGAAAATGTTCTGACGATTGTTAATTATGATAACAAAACACAATGACCTTTAGTGCTTCATAATATGCACTACATATATGCACTACATATACATCAAGGGCCACTGAGCAAAGTTCAACGACAGCCACACATCTAATTAATCCTCTATGAAAAAATAATGCCAGGTTTGTACCATCTTCTTTGTGGAATGATCAGAATCAGAGTATGAAAAAGACAAATCTCAAGCCTTTAGAAGAAATACTGACTTACAAAAATAGGCTT